ACTAAGCCCCTGAAACTATAAGCCAGTCCCAATTAAATGTTTTTCTTTACAGGAGTTGCTGTGTTCATGGTTTCTTAGAGATTTTATGAGTCTCAGAAGAGACTTTGAACTTTAGACTTTTAAACATCTTTGACACTATTATGATGACTTAAAACAAACTTTTCATTGATTCTTTGTGGATTTCCCATCATGCAACCTGGTCCCATTCATCTCCCCATCCCTTTGTATATGCTGTCTGCCCTTGCAACCACCCACCACCACCCCCATAAAAAAATGAAATAAAATTTGAAAGAAAAAAATAGCTCTCATCATAGAAGCTGTAGTGTGACACAGTGTACCCTTTTTGTCCATACATCTTACTTGCACTGAATCATTGGTCTGGTTTGAGGCCTCTGGCTTCTGCTGGGTCCTCACTGGAACTCCTCTTGGATATCCTGTTGCTGCCCTGTGTTATGGAGATTCTGCTGCTTTGGATCTGCAAGACCAGCCCTTTCATGTGCTCCAGCAGGTCATAGATGGGGTGGGTGTTGGGGTGAGCCAACTCATAGCCCTGGTTTGAGGTCTGGGTGGTAGCTGTGTTGATCAGCCTCCAACTATCCCCATCCTCATGACCCTTGCACTGGCTCACCCACCCCTACACCACCAGTATCAGCTATACCTTGCTGCCTAGGTGAGGTTGAGGGTCCACTCTCCACAGTACTGCAGCTGGTAAGGAGCAGGTTCAACACTCATGCCTCCCACTGGTGGTGAGGAGTGATTCGGGGATGACCTCTTTCCCTGACCCTCACTACCAAATGGCAGATGAGGTGGATATTACCATCTGTCCCACTCTCACACCCCCAGGGTCCCTGAAAACAGGGTCAGCCCTACTGTGCTGCCCAGGTAAGGTACAGGGCCTGTGTTCCTGAGCATCATAGCCACTGAGGGTCAGGGCCAATTCTGTGCAGCCTGATCCTCTTGACCTTTGGCAGTACCAAGAGCCATGGACATTAACACAGATTGGGACTGTTGTAGGGTTGAACCAAATGCATTTCTGCTATATGGTATGGTTGTAAGCTTATGGGGGCCAGGGAATGGAATGTGGTCATTTGAATAGAAATGGCCCTATAGACTCATGTATTTGAATGTTTGGCGCATAGGCCCTAATAGGCCCATAGGCACTATTAGGAGATATGGTCTTGCTGGAGTAGGTGTGGCCTTGTTGAAGGTAGTGTGTCACTGTGGAAGCCTGTGGCTCTGACATCTTATATGCTCAAGCTAGGCCTTGTGTGGCAGTTTCCTTCTGTTGCCTGTGAATCAAGGTGTAAAACGCTCAGATCCTTCTTCTGCATCATGTCTACCCGCATGCTGCCATTTTCTCTCCATAACACCAATGGACTCAACCTCCAAAGACGTAAGTCAGCCCTAATTAAGTGCTTTCCTTTATAAGAGTTGTTATGGCCATGATATCTCTTTACAGCAATAAAACCTTAACTAAGAAACTGAAATGGTTTTAAAAAATCAAATACCCCACTAGGTGTAGTGGTTGTATGGCTCTCTGTGTGTACAGAAATACATCAAGTTCTTTATTAGGGTACATTTGATTTTCTGCACAGGCTTTCTTACACCTCCAATTCTGTCAGTAAAATAATAATCTTCATTCCTAATCTGTCATTTTCATCATCCAATATAGTAAAATCATCAGTCCATTGGAAAACATATCAGGAGAGATAGGCTCCCAACACTCTAGCCTTAAGACTAAGTCAGGGATAGGCATAGAACATTTCCATGGTCAGCTTGAGTGCTTGTACAGAAGACTGTGCATGGGTAGTTAGAGAAAGGAATCCATTCTGTTTAGACTAGGGATGCTTGGGTCCTTATTTCCATTACGGGAGCCAACCCACCCTTAGATTGAGTACAAAGGCAACACCAAAAGAGATGCAGAAACAAAACAAGGAGAGAGAATGAAAGAGGGAACATTGAAGAGCAGAAGACAAGGAGGAGTGTCGTGTGATAAAACTTTCCTGGGGAGACGCAGCACACAAATCTTCTCACCCTTAATAGAAAACAGACAAAAGTGAGGATACCACACGAAGTCCAATTTGGTGAAACAGTGAGTTTTTGGTTACATACAGGGGAATATGCGTAAGAGGTTACTTAAAGGGACAGAAAAACCTCAAAGACAGTTAGATGCATCACCACAGGTCACTCCAGCATAGGTAACACTTCACAATGCTGGGCTCTTGGAGCACACTGGACATCCTGCAGGCAGCTCAATGGGCTGGAGAGTGTCCTTTCCAGGTGCTTCAGTTTGTCTGAGCCTCTTCTGGGCAGGCAGTCTAGTCTCAGAGATTTCTTAGTAGCTTGGTTTGCCCGAGAGTCTTCTTCATAGCTTAACTCCACTACTCTAAGAAGAACTCTCAGCTTTCATTGTGTACTCTAGCAGTGAGTGACCTAGTGAGTCTAGTCACCTTTAGGAATTTCCTGAAGCTATTTTGAGTTTTTTGACCTTCCTGCTTGAGGAGCTTCCCTGTAGTATTATAGTATTTATGATTTACTATAGCTTACCTGAGGATTCAGAAAGCGAAGTCAGCCACAAGCCATAGAAGCCAGGCATACACATTGAATCCTAGCATCCAGAAGCTAGGAGGTGGTGGTACACACCTTTAATCCTAGGACTCAGATTTAAGAGATAGATGAATCTCTGTGAGTCCAAGGTCACCCATATCTACACAAGAGTGAATCAGCCTAATAGAGAATTATAGCTCACACCTTTAATCCCAGCATTAGAAGAGTATAAAAGACAGGAGCAAATAGTCAGGAGGAGGCATTCGGTTTCCAGCCACACCAAGGAGAGGCAGTAGTTTGAGGCTTGGTGAAGACCTTCTAAGTTAATCAGTCCTTTCAGCCTGAGCTAGAGGTGAGAGCTGGTGGCCAGCTGTTTTGCCTCCCTGATCTTCAACTTGAACCCCAATATCTGTCTCTGGGTCATTTGTTTTTCATGTTGCACTTCCCTGCAAAATTGCATGTTTTGAGGAAATTTTTAGACAAGGAGTTAACCCACCTCTTTAGGTCCCGAATCCAGCCAAGCTTAGAAGTGTCCTGGATTAAGCCAGTTTGTGTCAACCTCATTATAGCAAAGACAATTTGACTAGTCCAGAAAAATTACACTAACTATAAACAAATCTATCTGAATGAATATACTAGAAAACATAAAAGGTTTTATGATCTAAAGATAAGAATTCTCCATAGATGATTTCTTATACTTGTTTTTCTCATTGTCTTTTATAGAAGACTTCTGGTTGGATTCTTATCTCATTTCACTAAGCTAAAATCTGGATTCAACAATATATTCAAATAAAGGGTAAGGCACAAAATTTGCAGGGGATAGCTCCCAAGGTTCTTTAAGAGTGTCAAAATGCCCAGACTAGTAAAGTTATGTGTCTTCCCCTTGGAGGTAAAATATAAAAAGAAAAATTAGAGAAAACAGACAGTTGCCAACCATGCATACATATCACAGCTAATGCCCCTAATTTCCACCTTCTTTCTTCCTTAATCACTTCTTGATAAGTCAGGGAAGAGAAATGACTGGATGTAGTGAACCAGAAACATAAGCAAAGGAAGAGAGGGGGTTAGGTTTCAGGATAATTAGGTTCGCAGAGTCCTAAGGCATTTCCATGATTATGTCAAAATTAAAGTAAAAGTCACATGAAATCCCCTTCAGATCTGTGTCATAATCCCTTTTGGGTGCCTGACAAACCTTGAGAAGCCAGAGTGACAGTTACTGATTTACCTTTCTGTGCTGAAAATGGAAGTTGAAAGTTAAGTGGCAACATAAAACTAAGTACCTCAGAGACCTAACTCCAAGTCTGGACTAGACAGAGATGACAGAAAATCATTAGGAGCAGAAGGCATGGAAAGGTCAGAAATAAATTGTTATCAAGCCCTGTTTGACTATTTTATCAGTCAGATTTCCCTCCTTTTTGCTCTCAAAAAAATGCAGTAACATTTCCTTATCTCTGGAGATGAATAATGATGTTATCAGGGTTGTAGGAACACACAGTCAGATTGTAGGAATGCTTTGTGTAAAAGAAAATGCCGTTTGTGATAAAATATGGTTCTTAAATATTAGTTTTTTAAATACAAAGTTGTCTTGTGCTGTCTGCTGTACTGTTGCTTTGTGTATAGACATGATGAAGTCTATCCCCTGTAGAAGAAAAAGCCAGCAATGGCTTTGTGTATTTAGGTCTCAATGTTTTCTTTTTGGTAGGGTAGATATTTTATCTCTAAGACAGAATCCTGGGTTAAGCAGATCATGTATCATTTCTCCTTCCCTACCTTACCATGACACCCCTCCTCCCTTCATCTCCTCACTTTGTTCCCTCTTTTCTCATCCACAACCCTCACCTTTCAACCTTTCAGACAAGGATGGTCCTTTGCCTTCCTTGTTGCATTAGATCAGGGAAACCTTGTGAAAATCTCTCAGAAACAAAATTGATCTTCAACTAAATGAGCATGTTAGTGATTCAAAATTTAGATAATCTGTTTTAAATTGTGAAAGTAGAAAATGATGGGTTAAGGGATTGCATACAGGCGAGAAAAAAGCCTTCCTCATTTTAGCAATTGCTGTGTAATGCCCTAAAATGATTCACTAATCACTCTACAGCTGGTTTGTCAAAAAATATAGGTTACTAAAGCATGCCTCAATTGCCACATTTCATGGGATTCACACCTGAAGAGAATGGGAGGCTATAGATTGAGCCTCTGGAGAATTCTAGACTAAACCCAGGCAACCTGTGGCTTAGCTCATTTTTCATTGATTGTATTACTTTTAAAATTAAGTTACTTTGTATTTCCTCATCTTCAGAAGACAGTATGTTTGCCAAGAGAAAAACTTGTATTAAACAGTCAAAGGTCATTTCCAGGACTTTAAGTTCATGTTTATAGAGGTTAGCACAATGTTATATCTCTACACCTGCTGGATAAATGTTTGTAAACTCTATTTACATACAGAGTTCTTGATCTTTTTGATTCATAAACTTGATGATTTGTCATTCACACCATTGCGTGAGATATCCCTCTTTCTATTTTTTTTACAGAATCCATACATTACTCATCTGATATAAAAGAACAAAAAATAATAAATCTTAAGGAAAAAGCAGTTCCATCTGCAAGTTAATCATTGCCATGAGACTTAACACTTAAGGTATGATACTACATAGAAAAAATAAACCAAAAAGGAGAAGGAAAGAAAAACAGGAAACAAAGAAATAAAAACAGTGAGTGATGCATGAAAGTAACATTCAAAGTAAACTGGAGTTGGCTTCATAGATCACAAGCACAATATGCTGTTCCAAAGATGAGTTTCTGGGTTTTGTTGTTGTTGTTGCTGTTTTCTCAGTGAGTTAGTGATTCAAGCTTACCCACAGAAAACTGATCCAAACTAAATCTTGGTGGGAATAGCTATAATCATAATACATATAAGAAATTCTCAAAGAATAAATTCATTTTTAAAAAGAAGAAAGGAAAGAAAAATGCTGACCATGTATTATATATCTACCTTGATATTGTTTTTCTTTAAATTTAGTAAGAAACTATAAGGACCTTTCAGTCTGCCTAACTATTTGAATTGGGATCCATTTTCAAATGATTCATTCATAGCTGTAGTAAAATTCAGACTTGTTTGTTATTTTGTAGGCATAAAGAGTAATAGTTATCAAGTTGTTTTTGTACATATAAGAGCCATACCCAAACACAGAGTGGAAAACTAAACCAAATTACCCAGAAGACTTAATATTGTCATTGAAAATTTCAGGTTTATAGTTCAAGGACCAACACAGAGAAGGGTTGTCATTTTTAGGAGAGATATTTTAGAAATGATGTTAACACGATAGCCAGGCTGGCAGACAAGAATGTGACAGAGGCTCTAAGAAGAAAGAGCCAGGTCCAACTCAGAACCAAGTGGCTCAGTGATGTCCCTTCTTATAGGACTCAGAGGAAGGGAGAAGTTTATATCATGTGATTGACAGGTAGTCCATAGTACACACTGACTGCCAGGTTGTCTCTGGTCCATGGATGATGGGGTTGAATGGGAGGAAGTCTATAGCCTGGGGCCTGTTTGTGCCCATAAGGCTGGGGAAGAGTCAGAATCAAGTTCATGCAAGAGCCTTATAAAATGATGTGACACTGACTCAATAATCATGTTATGTTGCAGATGTTTTTAGTCAATAGTTGAAATTCTCTGTAGGTAGAAAACCTGTCAACAGCTCATGTGAAGACATGAGTACTACCAACTTACACCCTGATTTTAATGGTTTTAGAAATTAACATGTGTGTTCACCATACATTCTTCTTTCCAAAGCTAAGAGTGATTAATTAATGAGCATATTCTTATAGGTCAGTTAGCCTACAGCTTATGCCCAAGTGTTAATAGAGTCCTGTAAATCTTCAGCTAATTCATTCTTCCTGTCATCTGAAGCAATATTGGAAGTCATTTTTGGAAAGAACAATTGCTTATATTTATTTGTTTAATCATGTGTTTCTGTTTTAACTGAGGACATGCTGTACTGCCTCCATGCCCTCATGCCACCCCCTTCACTAGATGAAAAGAAATAGACATTCATTCTTTTATCAGTAAAAACAGAAACTCTTTCTCTCAGTATTAGGAACCACCCCATCCGAGGAAATGGATAATTGTGTCCAGTCTGAGTTTAATTAGGACAAAAATATCATTATGCCCAGTGACCTTTAGTGCCATCAAAGAAGGAGAAAGCAGAGGGTGGAAACTCAGAAGTGAAGGGGGCAAATCCCCATCCCCTATGAAGAATTTTCAGGGACTGGAGGTGAAGAGGACACAGCTGCATTTCTTAACTTTTGAATGAATAGCAATTATGCCAAGAGCCTTCATTTTAGATTGTCAGCATGAGTCTATGTCATACCCATCCTGACACTCCCAAACTGGAGATTTTAAAGGCCTCCTGCCTTTGCCATTGAGACACCTGTCACCAACTACACTGAATCAGCATCTCTAGATGCTAGGAAATACATATTCAACATGATTTTGTGTAAGACACAACAGTAGGGAGGCTGAAATTCTTCAAAATCCTTAAAGGAAAATTTAAGCCTGAAAATAAAAGTGAAGTTGTAAAGACACTTTCTGTCCTATAAATGAAACTGACTCCATTTTCACCTGTCTACAATTGAAATCACCAGGGTCAAGTTAACAGTATTAATATCTGCAAATATTTTTAAAGTAGATTGCTTTTTACAAATGACAGTAAAGAAATCTCAGGAGAGAAAGACAGACATCTTCATGGCACTATAGCCATTAAGGTGTATTGTTGCCATTAGAAATATTTCTCTAGACTTCGTTTTTATTTTAGGATAGAATAATAATTATTCCTAAGTGTGAAAGGATCTATCCATCACACACCTATTCTTTAGGAAGCATAGTGAATAAGTGGGAATAGGCTTCCCAGAACCTACACTAAGCCCCATTTTCTGATCCATTTATTCTTCATTCTCGCCCTCTTCATCCTTGTCCTCCCGCTTAGGACCACATCTACCAGTCGATCGCAGAGCAGTGCTCATTTCCTGCTTACTCAACTATATCAAGATATTCAATTTATAATTTCTGAATTCAAAAGAGAGGCATCCCCCAGAACTCCAAGTGACATTTATAAGAACTTGGAATTTTCGAGTTCACTAGTTTAAATATCTTTCTCCCGAAAGGCTAATGATTTTTTATACCTTATTAGTTATTTGATAACACACACAAATGCACTCAACATAAAAAATACTGATTTTAACTACCCTATAGAGTAACATTCAAAATGTGTCATGCAGTATTTGAAGCTCTATATCAAATCTCCTGACAATAGATTTTATTAATTATTTAAAAATAGACATATAAGAGTACATATAGTTTCCACCATTGTGGCATATCATATATTGATAAATAATGAGACTCCAAAATATAAAAAATAAGATTTTAATTAAAAGACAATATAATACAACCATACAAAGGGTATATATTTCCAAATATATTCTAATAATTTGTAACATCAAATTATGTAATGAAACTCCACAATTAGTTTAGAACTTCAGACCAGATAAGTGCTACCAGAATGCAAAGGAAATAGAACACATCAATTTACACAACCAAGAAGGAAAATTGAAATAAGAGAATACTCAACAGCAAGTCTTAGCCAATTTGCCTTAAAATTAAAGCTAATAAATGTTACCATAAAAAATTCAGTTTTCATCTGCTTTCATCTTGCTCTATCAACAAGCTACATGTTAAAAGATTGGATTACTGGTTGGTATTTGTTTTACTTTTTCAACAGAATCTATAATTGAAGACAATGTTTTGGTGGAAGCATCATTTCAGCCCCTGGCATCAATATACCCAAAGAGTCTGGAATGTTCTGGTGGTAAATGACCTCACTCTTCTCTCTCTTTCCAAACCCTGCTGCATCTCAGAAGGCCTAGTAAATGATGATCCCCTCCCCCAAGAGATGCTAAAGACACTCCCACAGGTATTTAAGCTATCACCCAGAAAACATACCTATGGTTTTCCTTTCTGGTCTCTCTTTCCCATCTCCTCTGGTGAGGCTGGGAGATGCGGGGGGGAGAGGAGTGGAGGGAACTGAAAAGCCATCTGAGACCATTGCTTCCATTAAACGTGGGCTTTTTCTAATCTGGTTTGATGTGGTCCAATTTGGATAATTGGGTCTGTGGAGAGGCTTACTGGGGTGCCTAAAATTTTCAACAATAATATAACTAATGTCCAGTACCACCTGTGAAGTCATGGACTTCACATATTCTGATATTTGCTATTTAGTTCTGGGGGAGGGGGTTGGATCAGGCATTTGATGCTAAAATTTCTCAACAAGGGGTCAAACTCTCCAATTGCCGTGCTACCTCATCCTCATCTGCCACATCAGAGTGGGTGAGGAGTAGCCTGGAAGAGAACAGAGCACCCACTGCTCAGGACCACTACAAGTGCCTTAAAAAGGCTGCCTCAAACTTCATTTAATGACCAACACAAAGCTACATTGAAAAAAATGTAATGATGTAAGAGGTAATAATTAAAACCTCAGCTCTGCATTAACATTAATGAATTTTGAGCCAAGACATTATAATGCTATGTGTTAATACAAAAATCAACATAAACCTTCCCAAAGAGTCCTCTGAGGAAAACCTTCTAAGCTCATCTTCTAGGTGACACAATTGAAGACCCGGATATTTACAGCACTGGCATGATTAAAACACAATAATTGAAAAACCACATACTTATTAGAAATCAGTGTCTTTACTCAACTTTTCATTTCCTTACTTATAGTGTTAAAATTACATTCTGTACCATGCTTGCACATTGAATACATAATTCTTACTTTTAATATATGGCAACAAAACACGGTGTCCCCCCTTCCTGTGAGATGTTAATGTCCTAATCCCCCAAACCTGTGACTATACAACCATAGTAGAGGGAAAGCTGGCTTTTTCAATGATGATTAAGGTAAGGTATGACAATGACCCTGTTATAAGTAGTATACTATATAGAATGTATATCACCATGAAAAGACTCAAAATCTCTGTTCTAGGTTTACTGTCGAGGTCTATGATTAGCCTGCAGGTGTCAAAGATCTCTACTCCACTGTTTCTGATGATGAAGAAATGTGGCCCTAAGTCAAGGAAATTCAGAGAGCAGTATCAACAAACTGGAAAGGCCTAGGAAACTGGTTCTTCCCCAGAGTTTCCGGAAGCTTGCTTTGCTCTGCTCTTTTGACCATATGTAAGGTACTACAGAAGCATATGATAATAAAGTAGAGTTAAGTCACTGTATTTTGGGCAGGTTTTACAGCATTGGCAAATATTTACAGGATCTGTTTTCCTGTGGTCTTGGCTGTTATGAAACTAACAGCTTATAACACTGAGAACATAGGAGCTGAGTATCTAGTTTGGCTGTGTAGCATTTCTTTTTTATTATTATTTTTATTTAGGTTAGAAACAATCTTGTTTCACATGTCAATCCCAGCTCCCTCTCCTCCCCCGCCCTCCCCAGCAGGTCCCCCAGTCCCCCACCCAATCTCCACTCTGATCCCCAGGGAAGGTGAGGCCC